GTATCCAGGTATTGGTTAAACAGGATCTTGTTGATGTTTTGAGTGGGTTGATCTTAAACTGTGATCTTCCTGATCTCAGCTACTTGGAAAAGTAGCTAGGATTACCTACTGCATCAGTTTGGGTATAGGCTTTCAGTCTTACAAGATGAGAAAGTTCTGGAAGTAAATGGAGGTGATGGTCATACACAGCATGAATTTATTTAATGACATTTGAATATAAATTTTTATAGTTAAAAATGAAAAAAAAAAAAGAGATTCCTGGAGTCCACAGGAGTCTTATTAAATCCTCCGCAGTACCTGTCTGTCTCTCCTCCTCTAGTCCATGTCCTGGCATTCCAAGATCAATGTCCAGTCAATCACCTTGTGAATGAAGAAGTGAAGTGAACTAGCTGTGTGGTTGAGACTGTAGAGGATCCTGGATGAGCACAGTCCTGGGATTCTGACTAGCAGTTCATTTCAAGTGGTAATAACTATATTTTGTTGTCAGGGATATTTTTCTTTTTAAATGTTATTTTTAAACTGTTACTTCTGTGGAAGTTCTTCTTTCCTGCTGCCTTAGGAGGACACAAAGTACAGCTGGTGACAACATTCTAGGGGAGGAAAACTCTTCTATAAGCCTCAGCACCATTGTCAAACCTGGCATCTCCAAAGACACCGAGAAACCTGCTTCCTACAGTTCCAGCCTAAAACAGCAGCCTCAATCTCATTGTGGACTTGACTTTGGGTCTTCCCTACATTTCTGTCTCTCTTTCTTTTTCCTTTGCAGTACTGAGGTTTGATCTGAGGGCCTTGTGTTTGCTATGCATTTTTCCACTTCAGCCAGCCCCACTTCTGTCTCTAAATGGATCCAAAGTTTCCTCTTAAGAAGTCCTCTGCCCTTGGCATGTACTCCCATGGTAGCAAGGGGCTCTCTATCCAGGACTCTGTCCTTAGCAGATCCCTGAGCTGCTCCTGCTTGGCTGAGCTTCAGCACATGTATCTATCCTCCACAGGAGACAAGTGTTCTCCCAGTAGTTGGCTCAGAGTAAGAAGGCAAACTCATTGTCATTGGCTAGCTACTCAAAGCCTGCAAACAGTCTTTGGGGGATTCTTTGCAAAGCCTCAGGAGCTGTAGGTGAGGCCTGCATTGTTCTGCCCAGGTTCTCAGTGCAGAAGCTTTTCTTGGATTATACCTGACTGGTATGCCTGGCCTGCACTTGCAAGTTCCACATGAGAATGAACCTTGTGAGCTCCAGGCGTGGTGAGTGCACAGGTGTGGTTGACACCACTGCTGATGGGCAAGAAGGGCAACTTTTCTTCCAAGAACCAGAACCAAAGATACTTGTGAAGCTGAAAAACATGGATTTTGCCTCATATCACTGATGACTCTCCATTTTGCTGCTGCTAAGAAACACCAAGTCAACTCTGGGCCTATTTTGGGGAACAGGGATGTCTAATAGAACTTTCTGGAGGGATGGGAATTTCCTGCATCTTGACTATTCAATATGGCAGCTATCAGCTACCACAGTGTGCAATGATGGCTGACGATGACTAAGGAATAGCACTCTGCGTGTGTGTGTGTGTGTGTGTGTGTGTGTGTGTGTGTGTGTGTGTGTGTGTGTCAGTACTGGGGCTTGAACTCAGGGCCTGGGCTCTGTCCTGAGATCCTGAGCTTTATCATTCAAGCTTTATCATTCTATTAATTGGAGATAAGAGTCTCCTAGACTTTCCTGCCTGGGATGGCTTTGAACTACAATCCTTAGATCTCAGCTCCTGAATAAATAGGATTGCATGTGTGAGCCACAGACATCCAGCTTCAGAAATGACATTTAAAATTTAACTTTTAATTTCAGTTTCAATGGCCACATGTGGCAAGTGGCTACCTTTGATCCACATATTCTAGAAACTACCTAGTCACTGAGATGGATTTTGGGTATCACTCTTGGCTGAAATCATTTTTCTAGTAATATTTGCTTTCTGCTTCAACTGTCAGTATCTAATTGCTTCTATCACTCTTCTTGTAAAGTCTCCATTTTTGTCAGCCATCTTAAATTTCTTAAATATGAGATCTACCTATAAATACTAAAATGAGAGATGATAACAGCCTTTTTCTAATCTTTTTTTGTTTTGACTGCATATTTCCCTGTTTCTATCTCATACCATACAGAGTAAGATGTGGGGGCTGGGAAGGTGGCTCAGTGGTAAAGTGCTTGCCTTGCATGCTTGAGGCCCTGGGTTCGATTCCTCAGCACCCATAAGCAAAAAAACAAGCCAGAAGTGGTGCTGTGGCTCAAGTGGTAGAGCGCTAGCCTTGAGCTGAAGAACTGAGGGGCAGCGCCCAGGCTCAGAGTTCAGGCCCACGACCGGACCCAAAATAAAAACCAAAACAGAGTAAGATGTGGGTTGGGGTGAGCGGAAGCTAGGGAAAGGAGGCTGGGGTGAAGGAAGAGGTCTCTGTTCTGTTTCTTTAGCTGAGTGCTCTTCCACATGTGTTCATATTGTGAAAATTCGTTGAGCTGTATGTTTACAACTCATGTACTTTTCTGTACATATACTATTTATAGTTTCCCCCACTAAGAGTAAACAAACACATATAAAGAAAACACACTGTATTCCAAGCATGGCATCAGTTTAGTTTTGTGGGATGTGGGAAGCCTCATGAAACAGAGTCTGGGACTCCACAAAGCTGTAGTTCAACATCAATCATGCATCAATGCAAATCTCTAAGATGCATTTTTCGGAGAGTTCTCAGGCAACTCCTCACTATCCTTTATCCTTTTCCAGAGAGAGAGAGATAGCTTTCTTCCCACCTTATTAGATCTTAGCAAAGGACTTCTCCTAATTCTTCTGCCGGGATAAGTACCTTCCAGAAAAAAAAAATAAATCTGAGCCTTTCTCCTCCAGAGGAATTAAAAGGGGGAGGAGTAATTCTCTCATATATGGAATGTGAAGTCAGTGGGATGGGGTCAGGGTAAGAAAATAAAATGTATTTTAACAAGACCATGACAAAACTCCTCAGCCAAGCTTTCCTTCAGTGTTGGAGCGCATCTTACAAGAACAAAGAACTTGCTTTAAGAATGTGAGCTGAAAGTGGATCTAGGATACATATAGTGTTAAAGAAAATGTGGCCACAAGGCAGTCTTCCCAGTGCCCTGCCCCCGTGATCTGAATACGTTCATTTTGCTGAAAGCTGAAATATAGATTTTTACTTTGACAAGGAACTATGGTAGGTAGATGAGGTCTAACTCACAAAAGAATAGAAACTGCTCCCAGCAGAGAGGCAAAGATGTTTAAATGAACTTAATGAAGAATGAGGGACTATTTGTTACTTCTGTGCATACCTTTGCTTTACACAAAGATCTGTATTCTTGAGTCCTAAAATGCAAATCATTTTTCTTATCCTTTCATGGATCCTTCAAACTAAAAGTCAGCACCTGTATAGACTTAATAACCATTTACATGTGGGTCTTTTGTTGAAATGCTCTTTCAGTGTTTCCTTTGAGCAGAGCCCAGGACAAACCTTCACATTTTCTCCTTTCATTTGGGTTATTAGAAAGATTAAGATAGGGAAAAAATTCCTCTCATTACTACAAAATAGAAGAAATCAGTTAAAAATAATCATATATATTTGTTTTTTACTATAAACATAATCCCTTGCATTTCAATAACTTTTACTTGGTGCCACTCTTTTATATTTTGCATAGAGAACTGGCACTCTTGAATGCAGAAGAAAGTTTCCTGACATTTCAAAGGGGACTGTGAAGCAAACACAAGCATTCAGTTCATTCAATAAAAAGTGGCATTAGTTTCTTCAAAAAGAAGTCTGAAAATTATCTAGTTCCTAGGAATAGGCATCTCTAGGTGACCCTGCTTACTTGAGCAACACAGCTTAGCTGTACCTAAGACCAGTGTGTGACGTGTGCTAAATTCTCACTTCATCTCATGGTATGGGGATTACAATTCTCATGTTAAAGCTCACATCAACAAACACTGAAAATTCACTTCTTGATTCTAGCTACTGCAAACATCAACTTTATAAACAACGTCCCCTAACTGGCTAGTGTATATCTCTTGTTGGGTAGCCAAACATGAAAACTAGAATGCCAGAAGTTGAGGCTTTTTCAAATATAATATAAAGCCCTATCTACCTAGACCCAATGTACTTGTCAATTCAAGAAGGTCTGGTGGGAAAGCAACTATTCTCCTAACAGGTTGTGAATGACAGGAGCAGGGGGTTCTTTCAACTCCAGGCCCAAATAAATGCCTCTGATGAGTTTGGGATACACCATGAAAGGAGAAATGGGCCAGCAATGCTACAAGGTATTAGCTAGGAAGGATGGGGCCAGTCCACTGTCATTAAAATGTGCTCATTCTCCCAGCTGAGGGAGTCCAGATACATCCTTTAGTCCTCCACATATTCAGGAGGGAGTCATCTTGCAAGTGCTCACAGATTCTTATAACCTTCTCTTGTGGTGAGAGTGGACAGATAGGAGGCAGTGGATGTACCAGAGGGAAGGGAACCAACAGATCATCTTTCTCTATGGAATGCCAATGTTGTTTATAACTTTCATATACATGGGCTTCCCTGAAGTTTGTTTGCAGGAGTGAACAGTGTGTGGGTAAAAAACTTTTGACTAAGGACTCTAACAGAGATGTCTCAGATTAGGGCAACTGATTCCCTTCTCCCCTCTCCCCCTTCTAGAGCAATGTCCTAGCATCCAGAGAGAAAAGGGCTATTGCTAGCAGTGTTTCCATTCTAGAAAGGAGATTTTGGCCCTATACTTTATCAGGCTGAGTGTACTTCTGATCAGACAACACGAAGTCAAGTGTACAGACAGGGAAGGGACAACCAGCCAATGAAAGAAGCCACTGCGGGATGCCTGCAGGCCATTTAGGATTTCCAGAACAGGTAAGAGGTCTCTAGTAGAACTGATTGGCTTTGCCCTTCAGACAGACAGACAGGGAGACAGGCAGACAGACAGAAAGACAGACAGGCACGCAGGCAGACATTTTCCTGATACCTGCAGAAGGATCTTGTTGCCATCATGGTCCTCGGTCTGCCAGCGCCCCTCACTGATGGGGCTGCAGGGGTTGGGCAAGAGTGGCACCAACTCACCGATGTCCTTCACCCGGAACTCTAGCACAGAGGAGTCGGTGGGCACCGGGTTCTGGTCACAGGGTAGCCTTTTGAGGGAGAACTGAATATCCACATCCAGATTGGAGAAAATAGGGAAGATGCAGAAGTCCGCTCTCTTCTGGCTGGGGCTCCGGCGCAGGATGAGCTCATAGAGCCGGAGGCTGTCTGAATAGTTGTCGTGGCGACAGTAGATGGTGAAGCGCACAATCTCCTTGCCATAGTGCACAGGCCTGATGGCCCACAGTGGGGTCCCAGGGGCCAGTGTGAAGTAATCCTGGCTACAGGGCAGATAGGGCAGGAACCGGCCATGCACCTGCTCTGTGTGGTGGTGGCGCCAGGGTGGCCGCTGCAGCATGCGGTACAACTGCAGGATCTGCTCCTCACCATATTCCTCCTGCAGGAACAGCACCACGGCCAGTGAGGGCTGTGAGTCCTTGGGGGGCTTCCGCCGCCTATGCCGGCCAGCCCGCCGTTCTGACACCCGGAACAGAGGGAGGTCTGGGTGGATCCAGGCCAACACCTTGTCGATGGCTTCCTGCAGCGGCTGGGACTCCCCTGGGTCTGAGATGATGTGGATGCTCACTAGGAAAGGGTCTTGCGCCTCTTCCACGGAAAGCTCACCTGGGGGCACACAAGAACGGAGGAATGGATCATTATTCTGGATGGATGGATGGATGGATGGATGGGTGGATGGGTGGATGATGGATGGATGGGTGGATAGAATGATTATTCTACTTAGTAGAACAGTGGAGGCATGTAGTGTAGTATCTTGGCAGGAAAAGAAGCCAAATTCTAACAGAACTGAACTCATGATCTGTGATTTTTTTTTTCTGATTCCCAAATACACTTGCAAAAACTTCTAGAGCAATGCCTAGCATCCAGAGAGAAAAGAGCTATTGCTAGCAGTGTTTCCATTCTAGAAAGGAGATTTTGGCCCTACACTTTATCAGGCTGAGTGTACTTCTGATCAGACAACACAAAGTCAAGTGTACTGACAGGGAAGGGACAACCAGCCAATGAAAGAAGCCACTGCGGGATGTCTGCAGGCCATTTAGGATTTCCAGAAATCACCATACTGCCTTACTCTACAAACCTCCCCTATATTACTGTATCTTTTCTGGTCCTTTCATTTCATTGGCTTATTTAGTTCATCCACTTAACAGACTCTTAGGGTTCTTCCTATGTGTTCTCCACTGGGCAAGGCATGTGTACACAGTGGAAGACAAGGGAGACATGTGTTGGCCTTCTGAAATTCACGCTAATTGACAAGTGAGTGGTCCTGCTCAGGGCTCTTGCATAGTGTGAGGTCCTTGGCTTTGCTGCTAGCAACACAGGGAAGAATACCTCAGGAACAAATGCAGAATTCTTACTGGGGTATGATTAGGGGGTGAGAAAAATCTGATGAGGCTCTACCTATACTGCCTAGATAAATCTGCCTTTGGTGCCTCTTGTTAGTCCCCATCCACCCACAATCATGTATCCTAATGGGCTGGTTACCTCCCAGCACCCTCTGGTAGGTCATCCAGAAGCTTCTAATGCCAAGTAAGAAGCTGACTTTCTCATGAGGTGACACAGATTACCAGTGTCTATAATCCTAACTAATCAGAAGGCTGAGATCTAAGAATATTAGTTTTGAGCCAACCTGGAAAGACAAGTCTGAGAGACTCTTATCTCTTAATTATCCAGCAAAAAGCTGGACCAGAGACATGGCTCAAGAGCAGGTAGAATGATTTCATCTTTCACCACTCTCTTTTCCTCCCTCTGGTTAAACATATATTCCTGCAGTCACATGAGCATCATGCAATTTTGACTGACTTTATTGGACCAAATGAACTCTTTTCCCTAGGCACTGCTAACAAGGCTGCATGAAGGAGACACCATATGATCTTGTCCCTGAAGGTAAATGGTAACTGACTTAGAATAGCCTCAAAGGGGGAAGGTCACTGTAGGAAGCAGCAGACTGTTGATAAAGCATAGTACTGTGCAAAAAGAAGTCCATTTAAGCCAGGCACCAGTGTCTCACATCTGTAATCCTAGCTACTCAAGAGGTTGAGATCTGAGGATTGGGGTTCGAAGCCAGCCCAGGCAGGGAAGTTCATGAGCTTCTTATCTCCAATTAATCACCAAAAAAGCAAGAAGTGGTGCTATGGCTCAAGTGGTAGAGTGCTAGCTTTGAGCAAAAGAGCTCAGAGACAGCACCAATGCCGTGACTTCAAGCCCTGGGGAAGGAGATGGGAGCAGGGGACAGAGGAGAAGTCCATTTAGAGGTAGTGGTGAGTAGCCCTGAAGCACAGAAATGGATGAGACTGGGAAACAGGACTGAAGCCCGGTTCTTCAGCTCAACTGTGTAGGTTGATAGGATCAGGGGACGCAAGAGGCTGACTGTAAGCAAAGTAATGATCTAAAGGATTAGTGAAGAGTCTAGACAAGGTATGACAAGGACCTGACACCATTTCTTCTACCGACTCTAGCATCAGCACCTACCTCTGTCCCTGCTCTCTATGTAGTTTTGTGACTTTTTTCCCTAAAATGAGGTGTATCCCCCTATCCTTTGGCCTTGGCTTAGACTACACACTTAGGTTTGGCCAGTAGAATGTGAGCAGTGACATGTGACAAGTGATAAAGTACCAGTGGAGCAAGCAAGCTGAGCCAATGTGAGAGTCTGAATTCAAGTCCCAACACTAGCAAGGAAACAAATAAGATCCAGGCTCTAGGGGCTGGGAAGGTGGCTCAGTGGTAGAGCGCTTGCCTTGCATGCTCAAGGCCCTGGGTTCGATTTCTCAGCACCACATAAGCAAAAAGAAAAAAGCCAGAAGCGGTGCTGTGGCTCAAGTGGTAGAGCGCTAGCCTTGAGCTGAAGAGCTGAGGGACAGCGCCCAGGCCCAGAGTTCAGGCCCCACGACCAGATCCCCCCCCCAAAAAAAAACAAAGATCCAGGCTCTACAGGTTCCACCCAGAGCATGCACAGACAACCAGGCGCCCTGAGGGGCAATGCCAGCCAGCAAGCATCCTTCTCAGGCTTATACCTGGATGAGCCTATTTAATCCTTGTAAAAATCTGGAAGAGTTTTGTCTTTACTTACAAAAACAGAGCATCAGGCACAGACAGGCCAAGTTACCTGCCAAGGGCACACAGATCGAGAGGCTGAGCACTCCTTCCAGCATCAGGGGCCCCACCGCCCACACTCTCTGCTGCACCCATTTCTCAGCAGAAGGAGCAGCTGCCACTCTCCTCCATGTTTGGCCACGTTCCTACCACTATGTCCATTTATCTCTACAGCTCCCTTCCTTCTGTCTGCTGGCTGTCTTGCCTGACACTAGTGAACAGTTCTATGATTTGACACCCTTTTACATTCCTTTCCTATGGCCCTGAGTGTCCCAGGAAGAATCTGCCAGAGACTACTCCTGTTGGCATATGCCCAAGTCTTTCCATCTCAGTCCTTGCCTAGAGGGCAATTCAGACAGGCTGAGGTCACAGGTGGGTGCAATGGGGAAAGAAAAGCGGTGACCCTTAGAAAGCTGGTGGCTGGACAGGGAGAGCCCTGCCTGGGCATGAAGTGGGAGACATAGCATCCAACTCTCCCGAACAGAGTTGTCAGGGCACTCAGCCTTGTGTCACCTAGAGCGATCACACAAAAGTTTCCCAGAGAGCAGAACAAAAGCCTATTGAAGAGTGTATGGATGAATGAGTATCAACAACTCTGCCAGAGCAGGCTGCGCAACCTGGGAGCAGGGGCTGGGCTGAAAGGCATCCCACCAGACGTCAGCATGCTTGGTAGTTTGGGATGTAGCCAGGAGCGAACAGGCAAGGAAGGAAAAGCCTAGCTCTCAGTATGCCCTTTTCACTGCATGAATTGAGGGAGCTGAAAGTGCTTAAAATCCTGCCCAGGCAGAGCTAAAGAGAATGGACAGTATGCTTCAGCCATTGTTAGCCTGTGATGTGGCATGAAACACACAGACTCCCAGAACCATAGATCTCAGCTCCCAACTGTCATCAGCTGCTAGGGTTACATGTACCCCAGGGAATCTGCCTCTGGTGCTGCACAGGAAAGCAAGTATTTGAGGGGAAGAAGAGAAAATGTGAATAATTAATTGTCACAAAAAGCCTGTAGGCCTCCCTGGAGATGATGTGTCCATAGGGTGTGCTCTGCCTTTATCATATCTATTACCCGTCTTCTCCAAGGGCCTCAGCAAGCACCTGTTCAGCTAGGATGAAACCTAGGCCAAACATAACCCAGGCCATAGGCGAGACCCATCCTGGGCTGCTTACAGGGTGGGAGCTGGTCACATGGCTTGTGCATCCCAAGAAAAGAAAGAAGATTTTTTTCTCATGTGTTTCTGGATTAGAGTCTCCTTTAATTATACAAAACAGCACAGAGTTTTAGAAAAGCAGGGCACATTCAGACTTTCTATAGAAAAGAAAGTGCACAATTATTTGCTTATTATCTATTACATAGATGTATAAACATTTGATACATCTATCTCATTTAATTGTTGACAGAATGCTATGATACAGGTATACTTTCCACTTCACAGCTGAAGTGTCAGCTGACTTGCTCAAAGCCATTTGGCTAGCAAAGGGCAAGAACTCTCTGGGCCCAAATCTGTCTGAATCCCAAGTCTCCCTACCAGTGTGTGATGTCAAACCCCCATCCCCTAAGCCTACTGTTCTTACAGTCAGCTTGTTGGTTTATTTTGCCCCAAACTTCAGCTTGCTTGCTTGGGGCTCTGAACCTATGGCTCAGTTCCTGCAACCTACTTGGATGGGAGACCCTGCTGAGAATGGACTATTTTTCAGAGAATATATTCTAAGTCTTGAGTACTATGGACAAGTGGTCAGGGGACCCAAATCCTCTGCTTGTTGATAAGATTGCCAGATGCCAAACAGCCTTTTAGGAATCTGAATGCTGCCAGCACTAGAGACCAATCTCTGCAGCCCAGAGCTCCATGCCAGCCCTGCCTGGACTGTTTCTCACCATAATGTTCCTGTCAGACTCATGTGTCTCCAAAGTATCTACTTCTTGGTTGTGAGCATAACCAGCTAAAGGCCAAACAGACTGACTGGACTAGTTTCATGATATAGCAAGCTCAAATTCCCCTTTCTAGAACTTTTATTATTATTATTATTGTGTTGTTAAGTAGTTGTACAATTCCATAAGTCAGGTTATGAGTACAATGCTTCTTAGATGATGTCACCTCTTCTTTCATTCTCTTTTATTTTCTTCTTCCTGACGCTACCCTCAAGTTATATAGTTCTGTGTTTATATAATGTCAATTGAATATAATAACATTTTCTCACCCTTTCTCCCTCCATTCCTGTCACCCCCTTTGTCCTCCCCCACAAAAGAAACATGTTTTCACTTCCTGATATTTGGTTTGATAGATAGTACTTTAGCTGTTTAGGGGAATTACACCTTAGGATTCTTCCCCTAAGTGTACCCCCCTCCCCTTTAGCCAACTTGTTTTTTGTGTAAATGCATTCATCCCTGAATATGTTATCATGCATCGTTGTTTTTAGATTTAGCTTCCACATATATGAGAGAACACACGTGCTATTTGTTTCCCTGAGCAAGCAACCTGATTTGTTCTAGAATTTTTGAGCAACAACTCATATCACTGTCT